ACCCTCCCTGTCCCGCTCAGCCCCTGGTTGCTGCGTGGCCTGGGTGGCCGTCCCCCACCGGCTTGTGCCTGTGCCCTGGTGGGAGGGCAGGGATTGGGCTCGCAGGGCTGGGTGCGGGGGCAGGATCCAGCCCTGGGCTGGGGGGCTGGGGCCCAGGCACATAGTGAAGGGCAACTGGGTAGGAGCTGTGCCCACTCCCAGCACGGCGTCGCTGGAAGGCATTTTGGGGGTGCCAGCACCCCCATCCTGCCATGGCGGCTCAGCCATGTGGCCACAGGATGGAGTTTTACCTCCATCCTCATGGGCAAAAACATCCTTGCAACAAACCTCCCTTGTGACCCCCTTCCCCATTTGCACCCCAAAAAGCATCCCCTTCCAGCGGTGCTGCCGGGATGACGGGGGGCACCGGGGCTCCCCCCTTTGCTGGTGGGGCAAGAGGCCGGGAAGCCCCCCCAGCCCCCAGCTGGATTTCGCATGGGAAGGGGCCGGGGGCTGCCTGCCCCTTGCCGGCCTCCCACACTCCCTCCCCAAACCGGCCCTAATGAGAACAAGCTGGTCCCGGGCTGCAGCGCAGGAGGAGGAGAAGGAGGAGGAGGAGGAGGAGGAGAAGGAGAAGGAGGAGGCTCCATCCCAGCAGGCAGCAGAAAGGGGCGCGAGGAGGCGAGGTGTGCGGGACAGACCCTGTCCTCCCGGCTCCCTCCCACTGACGCGGCGGCTGCAGGCGAGGTGAGGATCCTGCTGGCAACACCAGCCCGGCCCCCCAATTTTGGGGTGGCTCCTTAGTGGGGCTCAGGCTGCCCCACAGCCAGGGGTGCCGCGGCGAGGGCTGGGCATGGTCCCCGCGGCGGGACGTGGGATGGAGCCGGCCACATAGCCGTGTGCCCGGGCATGGTTTGGAGGATGCTGCGCCTGGACAACATCAAAATCGTGAATTTCCCAAGCGTTTGGGGAGCGGAGGGAAGCGGAGTGGGGTTTGCCTGCGTCTGGCCAAGCCAGAGCCGGGGACGCACTGTGGATCTGGGGGTGGGCAAGGATGGGATGGGATGGGATGGGATGGGATGGGGATGGGGATGGGGATAGAGGGCCAGCCATGGCCACGGCGACAGGCCCTGCTCTTGGCACTGATTTGGGCTTTGATCAGCTGCTCATCAGCTGCGCTTGCTAACAGCAAATTAATGCCTTCACCTTCCCCGGGACCCCTCTCCCTGCTGCAGCTGTGGGGCCCCTCTCTGCAGTGAAGGCAGCAGAGGGGGAGTATGAAGGGGCTCATCCCGGCCCCCCAAAAACCCTCATCCTGGCGGTGCCACCATTACTACAGCGAGCCCAGAGCCCATGGCAGTGGTGACGCCTGCGGTGAGCTGGAAGGGTTGGGGGTCTTGGGGTCCAGGGGTGCCTCCTGCCTCTGCCGCCGTTTGTTTGCTCTGGTTTAATGCAAACCAGATTTTGCAGCTGGGAAGGAGCTTGCAAGCCAAGTCCCGCTTGCTGGAGTCCCTCCCATTTCGCAGCGCTGCTGGGTTGGGTTTGTTTGGGGGGGGAAACGGGAGGTGGGTTGGGATTTGGGGGGCTCAAGGACGGGGGAATTGTCCTGGGGAGTCCCCACCAATGGACCCGGGGCGCTGGTTCGTGAGACCTTCCCGTGGGGCCGTGCAGAGGGGAGAGCTCTGGGAATGGCTCGATGGCATTACATGGCGCGGTGCAGCCGAAACATGCTGCCATCCCCCAGGGACACGTTGCGACGTGCTGGGGACGGTCGCACCAAACCCCGTGGGGGTGCGGAGCCTGGCTGGGGGCTCGCCCTGGCTCATCGCTTCGGGCCGTGTGCGGGGATGGGAAACGCTCGTCCCATGTCCTACAACACGCCGTGGGCTGTGGCTGCTGGCGTGGGGCAGACCCAACCCCATCCCGCATGGAGGAGCATGGAACGGCGAGGGGACGGAGCTGGCAGCCGCCTTCACCCTTCACTGGGGATGCTTGGGCAGCTAGGGCCCCCCAGACCCCCGTTCACTGCACCCCAACTCCAGGGCTGCCCCTTTGCAAAGGCTCTGGGGGGTCCTGCGCCCCATCCCAGCACTGCTCGGCCGCCGCAGCGGCACCGGGGTGATATCCTGCCGCCAACCTATTTTTAGCCGCGCTCAAGCTGGGAATCGTTTGTAACGGTCTGTGCTGGGAAGGTTGGGAAATGCTGCTCGCGCTGGGGGCTGGCCCCTCTGCGGCGTCGCCTGTGTCAAAGTTTCCACTGGAAACCTCAATTTTTCAGGAATTTTCTAATCAGCCAAATGACCGTTGTCTGAAGCCGGTTGTTGGCAGCGTCCCCGGTCCCCTCGCCGTGCACGCAGCGTCCCCCAGGCTTGAGCAATTCGATTCAGCTGGTTTCCATCTATTTTTGCAGTGCGCCGTTGCAAAACAAACGCAGACCCTTGCTCGGCGTCAGGACGAGGAAACCGGAGCTGCATTTTGCTTTTCTTAAGGAAATTCAGCCGGGTGAATAAGCGAGTGCCCGAGCTAACCATTGGTGGTTCGATGCTTGACCCGCTGGGCAAGAGCCGCACGCAGGGCTCAGGGTGGGCGCACCACGGGGTTTCGCTTGGGGCAGGGCTCGGGAGTCTTGCTCCGTCGGGGTGTTAACGTTTCGCCCTCCCCTCTGCATCCCGTAGGCCGCCGTGCACAAGCCCCAGGGGAGATGATGGCAGTGCGGCTGGCCATGGGCGTGTGGCTGCTGATACTGATGCTGCTGGCGGCGGCCCCGGTGCGCCTGGCAGCACCCCGGCACGCCGTGGTGCTGCCCGACGGCGGGGGCAGCGGGGATGGTGAGGAGGTCTCGGCCACGCCGCCCGTCCACCACGTGACGCCGGGCAGTGGCCCGACGGTACGCGGCGGGGACCACAGTCACCAACAGCTCAGCGCCGGGCGGCGTGCTGGACGGGCTGGTGGACTTCTTCAAGGAGTACATGCTGCTGGTGGTGGTGGTGGGCTCGCTGGCCTTTGTCCTCCTCTTCATCATCTGCGCCGCCGTCATTGTCCGGCAGAAGCACAAGGCGTCTGCCTACTACCCCTCCTCCTTCCCCAAGAAGAAGTACGTGGACCAGCGGGACAAGGTGGGGGGGGCCCGGGCTTTCAATGAGGTGCCTGAGAAAGCCCCCGACCCTGGCGCCGAGGAGCCCCTCGACTGCAGCCGGCAGCTGCAGGCAGACATCCCCGCTG